GTCTTACGATCTAGCTTCGGTCTGAGAAATGTTCTATGACAAATATCCTGTACTAGTTTCTTCTCAGTTTCCGTTGGCCGCCATGAACCTGGCCCGGAGCTGCGTAAACTGGTAGCTACCGTTGCGTAATGAAGCAGTTGCTGCGCGAAAAGGGTAGCTGCGTCTTACGTTGACCATACGACAGTTGTACGAATGACGGGCGCGTTTGCCATATATAAGGCGCGGCCTGACCAATATTTTCTGAGGGATATTCCAATCATACAACTCCCGCGCACGGTAGCAGGACGCACCGGCCAAGGCAGCTTGTAACGGGTATCGCCTTCACTTGGCGTGGATGACTCCCACCCATTTTATCTTGTCAACAGCCAACCAGGTTCCAACCTGACATTGGGCCTAGTGCCAAGAAGCAGTAAAACTCTGCTCACATCAGGCTCACAACCACACCTGGGCCTACGGTCTCAGGACAAAACTCTGATTCTGCTTCCGCTCGCGCACACAAATCTCGATCCTATCTCGCTTAAGACAATCCACTGGTATCGATTCCTTTCTATAAACGATCCTGGGCGCCCCGGTGTGTCCATCCAGCGGTTCCCCCAAACGTGAAAATTTTTGGGCTGCCGCCGGGTGCCGCCCGCCGCAGCACGGCTGGTATTGAGACTAGGGTTTCAGCCCTGTCTCTAGCTACTTTCGAACAGTCTGCTAGGCGTCCCACTGGTTGTACGTCTCGTACGCCATGGAGAGCCAACATCAATCTCACTTTATCACACACACCCATCCCTCGAGCATCTCGTCTGTGCCTATCTTCCGGCTGGGAGACAGTGCACGGCAATGGGTCGCCAGGGTTGAGAGATGTGGTCGGATGTATGGCTGGAGTGAAGAGGCTCAGCTGGACGTCGCCATCTGCCGCCTAGGAGATGAGGCCATCTGCTGGCAAGCCGGCATGGAAGCGTCTCTCCCCGATTGGCCTAGCTTTAAAGCCGCGTTTCTGGAACGATTCGATCCGACCCAAGAAGAGTTGTTTAGCCGGCTAGCTCATTGTCGGCAAGAACGGGGCGAAGCTGTACGGACGTACGCTGACCGCTACCGCGACCTAGCTGCACAACTGGGTGTGGACACGCAACACGACCCCATCCACATGCATAACGTCTTACAAGGACTACAGCTCAAGGTTTACAACAAGGTTTTCCTCATGCGCCCATCTAGCTTTGAAGACGCTGTACGATGCGCCATCTATATCAACGAGGGCTTGGACCGCCAGGATGTGGCTGGCCACTACGAACCGTTTCCCCCTCAGCGCACACGCGATATGGATTTCCACAGCCATCCTTCTCGGGCTACCCCGCGCTGGGAAAACCGTCACGGCGACCTTCGTGGTAATGTGCCTGATTCCCCGACCCCTAGTGGCTCACGACCGGATGGTCCCCGAACTCCAGTGGCTACACAACGTCCCATGGGACCATGGCAACCAGAGCAGAAGCCCGCTGGGAATGCTCCCTGGCAGAGTCGCCCCAAACCTAAGGTTTCGACACCCCCAGAGAATGAACCCCTGGAGTCACGAGTTGACGACATCGCCCGCCAGTTGTCACGAT